CTCAGTCCTGAACTTTGAAAAAGACATTAAAGGGATTGAAAAAAGATTGAAAAAATGAAATGTCTGTCCTCATTTACTTAACCATTATTTTTAAGAGTGCAGGTTTGGAACAACTGAGAGTCATTACTGGCCTTGATGGTTTCATGACGAATCTGTAACATCAATGAAACCTTAAACAACATTTTATTTTATAGGGAATGAAAGGATCTTCAGGTTGTTAAATGTTTTTCACTTTTAGGAAAAAAATTGTTCTTTTAAGAACCATTCACTAAAAGATTCTTAGGCAAACCCAAAATTTGTCTTCTATGGCATTGCTATGAAAACCCCCCTTTTGAAATCTGTATTTTTAAAAATGTGTATGGCTTTCCTTCTCTAATTTTCATTTTTGGATAAATTATCCCTTTACCTGAAAAGTGAAATGTTTATTTGCTTTTCATTTGGCAGATAATTTATGATTGTAGTCTCTTTTTTTTCTGTTCAGTTGGTCATCTGTAGAGCCCGAGGTCATTATCCACTAGGGCTGTCAAATGTTTTTTTCGAATTTTGGAATATTCGTCGAATTTAAAATAAAAATCCACATTCGAAAGCAAAAACGTTGCATTCAAATTTTAGGTGTGCGTCAGGCAGCCTTATCAGTGGTGCACGAAATGCGACGACGATGTAAATTCGGGGCGTTGAGGTTTTCACTCACTCCGAGAACGCTCCGCTACCGCTCCGTCACGTGCACAAATTATGCCAACTCACGCATTAAACATAATTAGTTAGCTTGACAGATATGTGGATCACATATGAAGGTTAAAATGGCGATGGACGAGTGCGGGAGGTTAAAGCATGTTGTAAGTAGTCTACAGTTTGTTAATCTCCGCTCGAAACTAATGTGCTGCTACATTGCTGCACACGGACAGAACACACAAGCTCGCACATAACGTACAGATCGCGCGCATACATTCAGGAATGAAGAAAATTTAGTCAACGTTGTCCTGTGATTTATCAGTTTAAAAACGGAAAAGTTACAGCATATTCTTTCTGTTTCTGAAGTAACTACCCTCAGCTTCACCATAGTAGAGAAACGTTGCACAGACAAGTAAGCTAAGCGAGTTAAGCATTTAATATGGACTTGGGCTAATTGTAGTGTTCCAATAAACCGTTAAAACTATTCTTCTAGTATTATGCATTTATTTTTTCGTTTAATATATATTTATAATAACAATACTTTGATTTTTCAAGCATAAGGAAATAATTTAGCCGCGGAGCGGTGTTTCTGATCAGTGGAGCAAGGAATGGAGCGGGAGCAGGAAATGGTGAACCCGGAGCGGAGCTGGAGCGGAGTGATTATTGAATGCTTGGAGCGCGGAAGGGAAATTGTTGCCGCTCCACTCCGCTCACATACTCTGCACAGAACGCATATTTATCGCATTTTCTATCCAGAGGGACATCTATCACCGTTGCACTCGCGTCTCGCACAAGAGAGCCGCATGTTTAGAAAGCCATGTAAAATTAATGTAAGTTCAACTTTTAAAAAACATGTCTCAAGACTTTATGGCGGTTTTCCCCATCCCACTGCATCTCAAGTTTTTAAATGAAGAAAGTACTCTTTGTGATTGGTTTTCGGTCCTTTGTATTAAACTATACATACGTGCATAATATTTTGCTCGATGCGCCCTCTTGTGGCCTCAGGAGAGAAGCCAAAAGCTCCCCCGTAACTGAAATGATGCCTTTTAAATTCGAATGTAATTTGAATATTGATAATATTTAAGGCAAGGCAAGGCAAGTTTATTTATATAGCACATTTCATACACAATGGTAATTCAAAGTACTTTACATAAAAGAAAAGAAAATAATAATAAAAAAATTATAACTGTTAATTTCATCAATGCATTGGCAGAGGGAGTCAATGGGGCTGTAGTCATTTGGCGATAAGGCTAGGTAAATCTGGGTATCATCAGCATAGCTGTGATAGGCAATTTGGTTCTTTCTCATTATTTGACTTGGGAGCATATACAGGCTAAACAAGTAAAAAAAAAAAGTAAAAAATTAGTATTTAGTTTTTCAGCCATTTTGACAGCTATCCACTTTCATTCTCACCTTTCTTCAGTTACGCCAGATGGTCGGGCATCTGATTTAGTGAAACCATTGCCATTAGATCATCGTAAGTGAGGTATAGTCAAGTGACATCTTGCCTGGTTGCCTCTTGCTACAGTATAGTTCCCATTGGCCTCTCTGCTCACTGCTGAGTCTTTGCTTTTCAATGGCCCCATGGGTCAGTGCCCACCTGAGCATGATATGACCGCCAGAGCTGTACTGTGATTTATATCTCTGCTTCTCATTCCTTCTAAACTTTTGTAAGTGGGTGATTTTTAGCCTATATTTGCTAAAACTCATGCCAACAACATTTTTCCTTAGTGTCCTTGATTGAAAGGTTTAATATTTCTAAGCATACTCTTGATTGAAGGAAATTTGGGAGCACAATTTTATTTTTAAATTTATTTCAGTGCATTTGATTGCTCACTAATCAGCCATCGTTCTTTTTGGCTTTGGAAATTAATCCGATGATAATCTTCTAGACTCTGAGACCAGTTTTAAGGACATTTAAGGCTAGACCAGTATGTCTGAGCCTCCCTTGCTCCTGGCTAATCTAAATTGATCCAAATACGGGGGCCGTGTTACCCGAGGATAGCTCAGTGGGTGCTGTCCAATGCAATGAAAGATAGAGGTTTCTGCTGGTGTGTTCAGTCGGCCCACTGTGCCTTTGTGCAACATCGCACTCACACAAGAGAATAAAATGACCAGTGCTATAAAGAGAACTACATACATACATTTAATGTATCTCACTGAAATACTGTCTAATCTCTATCTCACGCTCTCTTTCTGACAGGAACATTTTGATACTGGCGCATCATTTATTTTAGCCCAATCGTATCCCATTACTGTGGCCATATGCAGTAATGCTGACCTAGTCAACTCTGTTTTCTTCCTACAGTATTTTATTATCCTCATTGTTTCTCTTGTCCTCTTTATATTGCTTTAAACTGACAGTGGGGTCTCTAGGCAAATGCGTTCTGCACTTGTGTCTGTGTGTCAACTGTTCCACTAGATAAGATAGACGACACTTGAGAGGAAGCCCTGGAATATCCTTAAACTCACACACCAGTGAAACTCAACCAATTCTCCAGAGCTTTGTTGAACGGTTTTGGCACAAACCTCCCAGGAAACCTACTAAAGGCTTACAAGTATGTGTGGATCTCTCATGACAAAGCCAGTTCAAATGAAAGCAAACATTTTTAGTATCACTTCATTTGACTTTGCCTTTGCTGGAAAACGCAGACTTTTTCTTTCTGTCGAGGACTGAGGTGAATTTTGTTTCAACATGGTTGAATTAAAGGAATAGTTCACCCAATCATGACAATTTTGTCATTATTTACATCAATACTTATATAATAAAACAAATTAATTTTGGACCCTATTGACTTTCATTGTATCAACAAAACAGTTAATTCCAAAATGATCTTTCATGAATATTTATATATTTATATTTTATATATATTTATATTTTACTTATTGCTTTTATATTATAAAATTCAGTACTATATATATATACATATAATACAATATAATATATAACATACAATACAAGATAATATAATACTATTTTTTATAATCTATTTTAGGATAAAAACATTTCGTAAAATTTCATTATTTTTTCATAATGTGCTTAATAGATAAATATTGTGAATGTAAATGCAAAAAAGTAGGTATTTACAAACCTCGAGAGATTAATTATATGGTTTAACAGTGTTATCAGAAAAATACTAGTCGCTGCGCCCCCTCTTACTTTATCTTAGTGACTAATTGTTCTTTAGAGGCTGTACAAGAAACATGGTGAACTACGCAGGAGTGACATCTTGCTAGAGCTTTGTTTCAGCATCCTACTTGTCGTCTCTTTCTTCTTTTGTTGCCTTCTTTACCTGTTTCTTTCTCTCACTAAGCAGTGTTTCTTTGTGTCTCTTAGCAGGTGGGAGTGGAACTTAGAGTGGAGAAAGAGGTGCAGAGACTGACTGATAGCTGGAAAGAAGCAAACTAGAACAGACAGCAGCAAGAGAGAAGCGTAGAAGAGGAGGAACACAGCATGAATGTAGCATGGAGGTGAAGGAGCGTCGGCCTTACTGCTCTCTCTCTCGGAGCAGGAGAGAACGAGGGAGAGACTGGGAGAGGGAAGGAGACAGAGAGGAGGGGGAGGGCTACAGGGAGGGTCCCGGCAACCGCCGTCACACCGGCTCATCCTCCGTCCTTACCCAGAAGTCTTATAGCTCCAGTGAGACGCTGAAGGCCTTTGATCAACATCCATCCACCCAGGGGCTTTATGGGCATCGCATGCCAGACATGGTGCCAAGGGACACTGAGGAATACAGAGCTCCAGGTAAGTGCTCTTTAACATTCACCATATGGACAGGAGACTCTGGAGTCCTTCAAGCTTGCAAATGTGATTTTTTTTAAAGCAACAAGGAAAATAAAAACAGACATTTGAAATGCTAAAAGCAAAACATAGAAAAAAGAAATGCAGTATACAGCACTAAACTGCATAAACATGTATCTATAGACGTATTCACTCTGAAAAAAAAAGATTTTATGGTATATAAATGATTTTCTCTCAATTTTTTCTACAGGCATAATTTAATACTGTAATGAGGATCAAACTATATCTTTCTAAATTAAATAAGTCCAGTGCACAGTGTAGCATACTGTGGCACATGACCGGTCAGTAACGTGACCTCACTTCTCCTTGACCTCTCAACCAAACAGGAGCTAAATCTTCAGATTTAATTCAGTCTTAATCAGAAAATAAATCCCATGTCTTTGACAAAACATTCTAGACCACAAAGAGAAGACCAAGATAGTTTCCAAGTACATTTTAAGCCAAAGATTATTTTATAAAGTTTGCCTTAACTGGATATGCAATAAAATACACACACACACACACACACACACACACACACACATCAGGAGCTAAATCTTCAGATTTAATTCAGTCTTAATCAGAAAATAAATCCCATGTCTTTGACAAAACATTCTAGACCACAAAGAGAAGACCAAGATAGTTTCCAAGTACATTTTAAGCCAAAGATTATTTTATAAAGTTTGCCTTAACTGGATATGCAATAAAATACACACACACACACACACACACACACACACACACAAATTCACAAAGACATTATAAAAATAATAATAATTATGATAATAATAAATATTTTTATTTAAAGAAATTAAAGCAAGCAGATGTTTTTCTAATACATTTTTTTTCGCTATTCAATAAAACACATACAATGACGTACAGGCATTATTTCTACAATAAAACAAGAACTTTAATATCACTATGTTTGCAAAATTGTTACCAGATATGTATGCATTTAATCCTGGATACATTTTTAAAAAAAAAATATTTTAGATTTTTTTGTATTCTTTTTTTAACTACTGTATATACAGTATAACACGGGAAGCTAATTCTTTATAACTCTTATAGGAACTACATTGCAGACCATTTACTGTCCAATAAACACATTTTTCCAAATCAATAAAAGTCTGATCGTATGGGTTGCAAGCATCAATTTAACGACTATATTGCACTGTGATCCAACACCTACATTTTATTTCTTCAATATCTTGAATAACTTTTATATACTGTAGACCAAGTCACAATAGTAGAGGTAGTTTTTTGCAAAGCACTGAATGTCTAGAAATGTAAACCCTTTAATGACATTTGAATTAGTTTAATTGACTAAGTTACAGATATTATTTCAGCCTGTCATTGAGGCAGTCTAAATGAAAGTTCTTTAAATCAGCACAGAACACTTTTGTCAGACAGCTGTATTCAGGTTGGGCACCTTCATTTTCATTTCATTTTGATATCTAATAAAGCCCACCAGACACTCATTTGCTGATTATTCACAAAGTATTCAAACTATTTCATAAATATTTGATGTTTTATCATGATGAGACACTTTTTAAGTGGAAGGGTAGGATACTGCTCATTCAAACTTAATTTCATTAGAAATACACTTAGTTGGTTAATTGTGCTTTATAGTGCTCTCCATAACCTTAGGCTGTTACACTTAGGGGGACGGCTTTAATTAGCAGCCGTGTTTGTGCCTGATCGGCACAAAAGCCGAAGGAGAGAAATCTTGCCTGTATTCATGATACAAATGTTCCGTCATTTTATTTTAATCACAGCCTGGCTAAATCGTGGCAGTTTGCCTTGCATTGGCTTCCACAGTTTGCAGTATTTCAAAATGTGTATTTCAGATAATGCCCTCAATGTGGTAATTAATGTCAGCACTTGTGTTGAGTTATTTTGTTTCGTATCTATGAGTGTACTCATAATTTAAATTCCGGTTTATTCATTTTCATGTGTCACCTACTCTGTGTGCTTTTAGTCATAAAGCACTCAGCATATGCTATCAGCTTTAATTAGCAGGCGTGTTTGTGCCTGATCGGCACAAAAGCCGAAGGAGAGAAATCTTGCCTGTATTCATGATACAAATGTTCCGTCATTTTATTTTAATCACAGCCTGGCTAAATCGTGGCAGTTTGCCTTGCATTGGATTCCACAGTTTGCAGTATTTCAAAACGTGTATTTCAGATAATGCCCTCATGTGGTAATTAATGTCAGCACTTGTGTTGAGTTATTTTGTTTCGTATCTATGAGTGTACTCATAATTTAAATTCCGGTGTATTCATTTTCATGTGTCACCTACTCTGTGTGCTTTTAGTCATAAAGCACTCAGCATATGCTATCAGGTACAAGAATATGGTTTTAACAGCAGAGCTGAAGGAAGTAGAGGGGTGCTGAGTCTCAAGGTGAATTTCAATCTGAAGTGGAACAGTTTGTACTGTGTAGTAAATCCTCAGATTTTCTTGTGTTGGACGAGGTAGAGCTTTCCCACATTCAGATTCAGCTGAACAGAAATTCACCTGCTGAAAAAGAAAAGAAGATCAGTAAATAGAAAAAAGTTAATTCAGTAAGTTAAATAAGTCTATACAACAAATAATGCTCACTGTTAAGCATCAAATATCAATGAATTATAAAATAAGTTGAAAGTGTGAAAATTGCAATGTTCTCCATTTAATAAACACATAAACAGACCAGGCTTTTTTATTAGGCTCTTTTTGCTTTTTTTATTTTATTTAAGTAGGCATAATTTTGTTTCTTCATATTTTTTAATTTACATAAATGTTAATGAAAGTATGAAAACAGTATAACAAAAATGTTAATGAAAAAAAATGAAAGTATATTTTCGATGCAGTGTTAAAACAAACCCTTAAAATAGACTCCTCAACTCCAACTAAACATTATTTTTAATCTTAAAATGTGCCCATAATTAGGTAATCAGTTTTATATTTCGTTCTGCCAAAACTGTCTGAAATGTTACTGTTTATTAGTTTCGCTTGGTTTGTCATTTTGTATCAGTAAAAATTTATTGATAAGATTAATTCTGTTTATGTGACGTTATTCTTATGAACAAAGGCCACTTTGAATCGAGTATTCACTATTATCTAAATAAATTTTTGTATATGAAAAGGTAGCAATAAAAAAAAATAAATAAATAAAGTGAAATGTGCAACACTCAAAAAAAGGTTCTTTTAATAGTTTTCTCTTTTTCATTTTACATAGTTTTTTGTATTCTTTGTAGTTTTACATATTTTATCTTAAATAATTTCCTACATCAAATCAATCTATGCATTGGTGGGGAGAACAAAAACACAAATGTAAAACATAGATCTTCGAGAAAAAAAAAAAAGAAAAAAAAAAGCTATTTATTCGTTCCCTGGTTAGAAAGAATAGTCACCACAGAAATTAACAAACATGTACTTGGGAACATAAAACTGCTGTTGTTCTTGCTGCATCTTTATTTAAATGCTTTAAATATTTTAATATAAAAGTGTATGCACTGCAAGAGTTTGATTGCAAGTTAAAATAATTAAATAGTGTGTGCGTGATTTTCAGCAAGTTCACAGTTATTTTGTTTACTTTTTACTTTTATTTTTTATGCATACACTCTCTGTATTAAGTATGCACTTTGAATCTTGCAGGCCAGAGTCTGTCACTGAGACAGCTTGGGATATGTGGCCCTGCTCCTCGCCGTGGTCTGAGCTTCTGCGCTGAGACTGGGCTCAGTCATCATACACAGCTCAGCGGAGCAGACCAAATCCAGAACGCAGGGGGCATATCTCCTGACTGCGCCATGCTATGGGTTAAGACACACGGACGGGAAGCACAGCTGTCCAGCCGGTCCAACTCTGCTTTAACACTCACAGACACAGAGCAGGACAACAAATCGGATCAGGAGAATGGTAAGTCCACCTGTGTTTCATTCTCAATTGTAACCTTGCATTGAGCAAAATTCCCCGATAGTTAATGCTGGTGACGTAAAACTGCAAAAGTGGGAAAATACCCCAGACCAAGTCAAGGCAAAGTCACCTTGAGTCACTAAAGGGTAAGGATGTAATTGGTTAGAGCTAATAATCGGTAGCCAACAACTGGTTTAAGTGACTGTATTAATGGATCGACTGGTTATATTTGCAGCCTAAGGGGCACTGTGGGAGTTATAGGCATTTCAGAGAAAATAACATAATTTCCTGAAGCATATGAGCAAACGGTGCAGAGAACTGCTAGACACTTCCTCTGGGCCTGTGCCGAATCATAGGTGGCTTTGTCACTCATATTCATGTGCGGATCCACAGGGTGTTGCTGGGCTTGCAAATATACGGTGGATGAAGAGGGGCCCACTGGTTTGAAGTGCAAATTGGTGTGCGATGGAAACCTTAATGCCTTATGGATTAGGGAGTACATTTGAAAAAGCAAATTGTCTATATATGAAATACCTGCATGTCAAAGCACATACATCTGTATTTTATTTTAATTTGATTTATTTATTTATTTTTTCCTGGGGACGCATAATTAGCTTTTTTCCTGCAGTGAGCATGCTGGACTGTTTTGGACAAAGTTTATTGTTGTGAAGTATCTAGTTGGTTTTGTTTTCAAAGGAAAAAAAAAAGAATAGTCTGTGCCAAGCCATTTTTTATTCACATTCACATATTCACTACTGAGATATTGCAGCATATACAATATTAGTAGGGAAAAAAAGGGAGTAAAGGTTTTAAAATGGCCATGCCATGCAGTGGATATTTTTGACAACATGGGTATTTGTTGCAGAAAATGTTGCTTTAAAAAAGAAAAGGGAAAAAATAGGGGAGTGTAATCCTACTCATTGTAGGTTAAACATATCTAATGTAGGATCTGTAGTGTCTCATGTTCAGCGTTCACTGCATTGATCAAAGGAAACCACATCTGAAATGCACACGCTCAATTTACATGTCACATTAGACACTATTTACTGCTGCTTTCTCCTCGTTTGGTGTGATATAATGTTTAATATAATGCAAGAATTCACTCTTGAGAAGCTCTTGTTAGACCATAGTTTAGAATATGTACACATTTGTGACTAAAGGATAAACCAAGTGATATACCTCTATTTATGTTCATTAACATTTAATATTTAGATTTAAGCAGTGGGATGCAAAAGTCTGAGTACACTTCGAAAATCTGGAATATAAAATATCATTTAAAAGTGGAAATAAAAGCTTTAGACTTTGAATTCTATTATAAAATAAATTGACATTATTGACACCAAATGAAAAGGACATGTTTCTGATTCTGCACTATTTCCAGGTCAAATAAGCAAATTTGTGACACTGATCATGTAAACTTTTTATATATTTCTAGGATTTCACAGCTTGTAAAAAGTCTAAATTCTTCAAAGAGCTCTTGTATCATTCTCAAATTATACTAGATATCATATTATATGTTATTTAATGTATAATGAAAAATAATTGTATTTTATTAGAAAAATTACTAAAAAATATCACTGGTAGTCTCAAACTTTTTGAGCCCACTGTGTGTGAAATGTGTTCCTTGTAGGGAACTTGTGTATAAGGCTACAAAATAGCCTTGTGTTTTAAAAAAATACTCTGGCAGAAGTTCTATAAAATGTTTGATTCAGACATGCAGGTGAGCAGTAGTATTTGACCAGCATATTCAAAGCTATTTTTCTTCTTTTTCTTTGCTGTGGATTAGGTCTGGGACTTGGTCCGTTTTAGTCAAAATATAATGATGTAGCTGAGAGCGGGCTGTCTGCTTCACAGCACTCCATTAAGAGAATGAGGTCAAGTTTCTCTGCACAGTCGTTCAGCTTCTGTATCTCTCCCCATCTTTCCCGAAATCTCTCCAGTCTGCTATGCAAAATATGCTAAAGCTGTGTTATAGCACTGTGCTCTGTGTATCCAGTCTCCTCCAGAGGGACTAGTCATTATTATATAAAGTTATAGACGACTCTGGAGAGCGACTATGATTATTTATTAGTCAGTCGGATGTTAAAATGTAAAAAGGGTATTTTTCATCAATGATTAGCCTACATTTTGTACAGTCAGTGTTTGATATATTTCTAGGGTTTCACAGTTTGTGGTCTTAGGGTTGAGCAACCCTTTGAAGCTTTAATGGTTACATAACTCCACAAATATTTGAATAAAAATTAAATGTTAAAAATGTCTTTACAAATTTGACGCAAACAGATTTATTTGTCTGTAGTCCAGGGTCTCTAACTGTAGGCCTCTCTCTATGAAGAATTCATGCAAATGTGAGACACTGTGTGATTTACTGTAACAATTAAGCTTCACTTTTAAAGGTGTGGGATGAGTTTCCACAGAGACCTCATTGAGGCTGACTGTAAATTGTTATAAAACGTGTCTTTGGCAACCCATATAAAGCATAGTCTGAATTTTAGAGTTTATTTTTACCTATTAAAGCAATTTCTTTGTTCTTTTTGCAAATTAAAATCAGTCATTTTTAGATTTAAATCTGTCATACTGTAATTCCAGAATCACTGTGGATGAATCGACAATACCACATTCTTAATTTTCCCCCTGCGTTTGACAGCATAAAACCAATCACTCTCATTACATCAACAAAGATGACTGCACCACATCTACGCTGACTGAACAGCACGCCGTTGCAACGGTCTTGTTTTGTTGCATTAAATTGCACCGCTTGCTTGTGGTGTATACACAGTGTTGCACGGCACCTTTGAAAAGAAATCAGCAGCAGTAAAAATGCTGTGGATAATGATCTCGGAGCGGCTCAGCTGCAGGGTCAAAAGCACTTCTTAAAACATCATCCTTTTAGCACACCTGTTACACTTCCATCTCGATCTCTCTCTAAAATAATATATAATGATATTTCTCTGCCTTGTGTATCATGTAGTTTTTGCCTTTGTTTGCCATAAACTAAATGAATAAGCTATATGCAGATTCATATTTCATAGATTATTATCTATCTTCATTACTCATTTAGCAGCAATGACCCCTTTCTAAGATTTATTTATCTGCTATGATTTTCGGTGCATTCTGTCAGCTTCTGACATTTTGATTGTCCTTTACTACCTGTATAAGTAATTATTAAAAGTTAATTTGTAGCTGCAAGGTTGACCATATAAATGTAAGACAGCACATGATTGCATCACACTGAGAAAAAAATGACAGAAAAAGGAGCATAATGCTTTTGGGAGTATTTATAGAATATTATAAATGTATTTATGTATATTATTAATAAATAAGTCAATAGAACATATTTATTTAATGCTTTATGAGGATTTTAGCAAATTGTCTATAAATATATAAATAAATGCATTTATTATAAATTATTATATCTTAGAAATTATTTATTTATTTACAGATCTAATCATGAAAACTAAATGCATTTTGGCTGTTTAGATATGTAAAATTCACCATGTCACAAATGGAGATTTGGGAGCCTTGTAATCCATGCGTGAACAAGCAATCATGGATGAAACACGTGGACTGAGCAATCTCAAAACTCAGATACTAATGGGGCAGAGAGAGCATTCCACAGAATTCTGCTGCCCCACATTAGCATTGCATATAGCAGAGGAATAGTAGTTTGGATTTAGACCTGTTTTGCACATATGTTTGTGGCCAGTATGTAAGTGAAATGTGCACATGCCCAATTGGATTGAAGTGACCAAGTATAAATACTCTCCTGTTCACAGTGAATTAATCCATCCTCATATGAGGCATTTAAAGGGATAGTTCACCCAAAAATGTTGTTCCAAACCTGTATGGCTTTCTTTCCTCTGAAGAACATAAAAGAAGATATTTTGAAAAATGTCTCCTTTTTTTCAGATATCTTCAGTCAGATATTTTATATCAGAAGAAGATATTTTGAAGAATGCTTAAGTCCAAATCACATTCAACAGAATAAATAAAGTCATACAGGTTTAAAACGACTTGAGGGTGTATAAATAATAAGAATTTTCATTTTTGGGTGAACTATTCATCTAAGTAGGAACTCCACCTCTCTTTTGACATAAATACAGTATAACCCCTGTAGAGGGTCATATATCAGAATCTGTTTTAGCTATAAACCATATTCATTGCTGGTATAATTTAAGATGATCCATTTTTAATGAAGTGCTTGAAGATATACAGTATATATCGCAGTCTGAGACCTAACGGCTCAGGGAACATCCAAACAAGGCTCCTTTCAAAATAGGCAATAAAACAATATTTCAGCGGCGCTACTGCTGTGAATATGTATGATTCTTTGCTTTCTCTAAGCTTCAACTGGATGTTCATGTGAAAGTATTTCTCCCTGATATTCATTTGAATCTTGTCCTTCATACAAACTTTTATGAAGTTGGAAAAATGATATTTTCATCCAAGAACATAAAAGTGAAAAAGTAAGAACTTCTTGTTCTGAATAAAACACTTTATTATCATACAAGGCTAGTCACTGAGTTGAAAGATTACTTTCATGACTAAGTGAACATGTGTGCATATTTAAGGGAGCTGTAAAGGGAAGTAATTAAGGTTGGAGACTTACTTATTAAGTGAACCTTCAAGCAAGACCTCCCACATACAAAAAAAAAAAAAGTCATCAAAATAGATCCAATGTATGAGCCAGGTTTAGTTTTTAATGTTAGAAGAACTTTTTCCCCCTTAAAGGAACTTTAGCTAATTTGTATTCCTGTAAGGGATGTTAGAAGCCTCTACAGTCATGGCCAAGAAAGACATTGTGACAAAAGTCATCACTGTGAACAAAAGTTAGAGAAGCTCTTCGTTTGGTCAGGAAATAGCCTGGAAACCTAGCTGCCCCCTGCTTTTGTCTGGCCTGGTTGGTATTATCAGAGGATAAATGATCCCTATCAGGATCTTCAGTGCCTGTGAAGCTTTCTCTCTGTCTTTCTTTCTCTCTTCCTTGTGCGTGTGGGTGTTTGCAC